TTTGCCCTGAGACATTCCATATATCAAACTTTTCCTTTTTACATCCTGGGGGAAAGACACAGAATAGTCAAGGTAGAGAACAATCCAAGTTCCCATAAGGTAAAGGGAGTGTCACACTCTGGTACACGGGCACCCTTGATGTAGAAGGTGACAGTGCACAATTTGTAATATTAGATCGGATGAGCCATGTGAAGGGCTGTTTGAGGCGCTCAGGGCCTCTGTGCTGCTGCCACTGATTGACCCACCAGGAACCTCCTCAGGAGACATTCAGAAAGTGTCATTTCTCCTGTTTGCCTTTCCTTACTGTCAGTCTGTCTGCCTGTCTGTCTATCTATCTGCCTACCCATCTCTCATCTTTGATTTATTTATCGTGTGTGTGTGTTTCTATAGGGATTTGGAGTGGAGCAGCTTTGGGGGGCCTGTGTGCTGTAGCATTTTATACCAGCAATGATCCCGCTGTTATTTTAAACTTGGCAACATCCTTTCTTTGTACTTACTTTTTCTCTGTCCCATGAATATTTTCTATGGTCATTTTTTTCCCCATGGCTTGTGTTCTGCCACAGATCATGAAAACATAAAGATGTTAATTCTACATTATTTGTCTAACATATTGTCTAACATTCACTTATTGGAGGAAGCATATATTCATGTATACGGATACAGAGACATGTATATATCATGTATATGTTATGTATGTGTATAGGAATATATATATATATATATATATTTATATATATACACACACACACGTGTATATAATTATTCTACCCAAGCATCATCCAGCACAATAATATACTGAGGACATTCTGTAATGTTTTTATTAAATTCTCAGTGCATTGTCAGAAGGAGAGACAGAAGGAGAGAAAATCTTTTGCCTACAGAAGGAGAGAAAATCATCAGTGAATTCTTCAATATGGAGAGGTCAGGCAGTACCTAGACTTGGAAAAGTGAAGGTAGGAAGGTAGGAAATATAAAGATATGATGAGAGATGAATTTCAATAATGTGATAAGTCTTAAGAGAAAGAAACATAACTTTTGAAATTGGATTTCCAATATTTATGCTTTTCAAACAAACTCGTGTGGAAAAGACAAATAGTTTTGGTGCAGAACATGAGGATTTAATATACATATACATTGTAGAAAAAATTACCACAATCCAGTTAATTAACACATGTTTACCTTTATATATGTGAATATATACATATTTTTTTTTCTTTTTTGGTAGGTTTACAACAGACATTATCATAGCTAGTTTAATGTGCTCAATAAAGTACTATGACTACAGGCAGCAAGCTGGATATTAGATCCCAGGAATCCTTCATCCTATAATGAAAATGTGTGTCCTTGGCTGCAGCCCAGGAACAGTCCGAAAAGGCTTTGTCCTGGAGCATCAGGGGAGTGGAAGTGGCTGTGGTGGGGTGGATTTCAAATAAAAAGGCCCAAAACTCATGCCATTTGCTGCAACATGGATGGAGCTGGAAGGGATAATGCTCAGTGAAATCAGTCAGAAGGAAGAAGGAAAATTTTGGATGGCTTCACTTACAGGAGTAATACAGGGAAATTGAACAAGGCGCCAGGGAAAAAAAAAGACAAAACTTGCAGGCAAACTAGAAATGAGACCATAATGTGGGGAAAAAAGGAGGGAGAGGGGTCAAAAAGCGAAGGGAGGAGCACAAGAGACTATGGGGATGTTCAGGGGTGACTTGATGGTGGGAATTTTATGGGGATTATACCTGAGGGGAGAAATCAAACATTGTACAAAAATAAACAAATATGTAAATATATATATATATATATATACACACACACACACACTAATATACATACACACACACATATAAAAATAAAATAAAAACAGGCCTGTGCAGACTCCCCCCTCCTCAGCCTTTTGGCTCCTACTCTGCACTGTCACTCTTGCCAGAACAGGGGTCCAGGCTACCTTCCTGCCCTCACTTGTTTCCACAGAGACACTGATTGGTGACAAAAATTGATATTTGAAACCAACTATTTGCTGTAAATGACATCAGGGCTAAACACACCATTAATAGAGATGAGCAGGTGGAGCCAGACTGTGGGGTGAGCTCACTCTGGAAGTGGGCACAGGTGAGCTTTTCAGTCACTTTTCTTTTCCTTACAACTTAACTTATCATCACATGTCTCATTATGTAACTGTATAGTTCGTTCTTCTTAGTTCTGAAAAACATCCCCTGGTACACAAACGCTACCTTGCGAAGGGTGTCAAAGTTGACTCCATTTTTCATGATTAGATGCATCATGATGCTAATAAGCATCATGCCCAGATTTTTCTTTGTTTTCAGTTGTTGATGATGATGGAAAAGTTGCTATAAGCAGTCATCTGGAGATTTTTCTGTGGACAAATTACTTAGAATCATTTTTATGATTGTATAACGTTAAACTGATTCCTTTTCATGAAAAATCATAGAATAAGAAAAAGTACTCAGCACTGATTCAAGTTAGATAAATAAGATGGCAGCTGCAGTAGGGATGACTTATCCTATTAAGCACAGCATGGAGGGTGTGAGGTCCAGTGATTCATTCAAGGGCACAGAAAATGAATTTGTAATATTTTAGAATGGGAAAAAATTGAATATAAAGCAGTCTGAATGTAACCAGCCCTAACCTGAGGAGCTCAAGACACTGTGTTTCCATGGAGACCCCTCACCTAGGGATGTGCTGCTGGGAGTGACTCTCAGGACAGAGGGAGGGAGGGGCCTGCCCCCAGGGGGTGCCCTGGAGGAGGCTGGGCCAGGACAGCAGCAGAGAAGAAGCAGAGCCCCAGACTGAGCCTCAGCAGCAGCTGCCAGGGGTGCCTGCTCTTTGCAGAAGAGAAAGGGGGTTTGTGTCTCACTTCCCCACAGGCCTGGAGCACTGTGGGACCATCCAGACTGTCATCCCAACTTGAGCAGTG